ATGTCTTCTAATACCCCATTTGGAGCCTCGGGACGCTACAACATTATCCATTAGCAACAAACTATATTTCCTACTAGGTAGTGAAGCTAGCTCGAAGCAACTATTCCGACGCAGCCTTCAAAAGCTTTCCATTTGGTTGTAGAAGGCAAACAACTTGGCTAATAACTTGCAATCAAAAAGACCTAGATTTGGTCCGAAATCTATGCTGTAGCGCCCCGAGGCTTCCCATAGGGTGGAAGAAAGCATAAGTGAGGATGAATGGGGCCTGAGCGTCGCCAGTTCACGTGTACTGGGGTCGGAAAAATTCTAAAGTGACAACCTCTTTTGAGCGACGTCCTCATCGCTCCCTTTTGGTACGCCTTCCGCGCCAGCCATCACAACATATTCGGTGCAACAAGAAAGCACCCACGAGCCAACCGCGCCAGTCGACAGACAAAACGAGACTGAGAAACCGTACCTGGTCTTCTCGGCCGCTTCAATTCGATCTGGAGTTACGTTCGGTCTGACAATCAGATTTGGGGCCGCATACACCTCTTAACCATCAATTGCTTCCAGGACTAGACGGTGGAACTCTGGTCTAAAACACTTGTGTTACAGGGGAAACCGGATGAGTCACTGTCCCGTGTGCGAGGAGAAACGTGGTGCCATTTCCGACACCTAAATATGGATTTTGTATGGGAATCTCCGACACAAAACTTTTCCAGATAGTTCACGGTGGCGTCGCTTCAGTTGTTAATACCTTGTCTGTGGAACACGGGAATAAGGTGAAAACAAATGCAGACGTCAGTCTAGATCCTTTCGCTGTGAAGGTTTCGGGGGTTCGCCCGCCACCACGGTAAATGCGCCTCCTTCAATTCACGTCCTCTTTTCGCCTCTATCTTCATCTATCAGACTTCGATAGAGTCGGACTTCCTCCACGCATGTATAGCTCATGATTGCCGGTGCACAACGTCAAATTGCGCTTATTGATCTTGGATTTCCCCACTAGAAAGTAGAATTCATTTGCAGTCTCGCCTGTTGGTTGGATTATAAACTTCTTGCCGTGAAAGAAGAGGTTC